CATACATGTTGATTCCACTTTTAAATTTCTAAAGCAAACAATCAAAGAAATTCAATGTCTATTTTTTTTTTTTGTCATGATTTATGGAATTACAACAAGACATTTTTCGAGATCTTTCTACTTATAGCGATGGTTATGCTGTTTAAATAGAGGTGTAGGACTTTTTTATATATCCACAGTATGCAAAAATTTGGCAGGAGAAACTGCTTGGGGTTCAGAGGGTTAAGAGAAATGTTCCTCTCACTTCTATCTGCTCCAAAAACCATCAGAAAACCGCAGAGCGACTTCCCCTACACTTCTGCAAAATCCTACTGTTTTGAACGCTGCAGTCGGTGGGACGCTGCGGTTTTGCAGATCTGAACTGCTGTGGGCACAAAGTATACACACAAACACACACCTCTGGCCCACTGTGAACTTTCCCTTCTGCTGACGCTGATAGGAAGGAACACACCTCCAGCTCTGAGATACCAACACGGTGAGCGAGAGAGCTGTGAAAGCATGGCACAGCTGAGCAATAGTGTGTCAACAGAGAATGAGATTAGTAGTGCTGTCCTTAGGCGTTCACTCAGCTGGTGTGTGAGTGTGTGTGTGTGCTGCTCTGACTCCTGGCTCTCATGTACTATATCTGTGTGTGTTCTCAGCGAGGGGTTTTTGGTTTTCTTTGACTGACACAGACAGAGAGTTTAGGGAGTCTGTCTCCCTCCCACAGCAAGAGTTAAGAAGCCCTAAAGCTCCTTAGCCCAGACTCTGCCACTTGTTCGATGAAAGAACATCTTTTTTTAAACACAGTGGAGATAAAACAATAAAAAAAAAAATCCAACCTTGTGCTGCCCTGCGTGGCGCAACCTCAAGCACACTTGCAGGGAAGTGTTTCTGGAAGCTCCCACACACCCTCACAGGTTCATTATTTATTTCAAGCTATTCTAGTCTTTGTGGTCGATTGTTAGGTTCTGTAAAGGAACTGAACATCTTTATCCCTTCAAGCAATCAACTTAGCAAACACATTTGTATACAAACACACTCACGCTGTGTGGGCCAACACAGGCATTTACAGGTTCAGTGAAGCCTTATAGGAAAAGTCAATGCATGTTAAAGTCTGGAGAACATGAACCACATGGGAGCGCTGGGCACTCAGCCAGTCCAGACAGAGCACGGACTGGCATCTACTGGCACCGGCCAACTTCACACGCCACGCACATTACTGCCCATCTCAGCTCTCGACACGCTGCTCGAGACATGCCAGACACATCCATGTTTATGTGAAGGAATCGTGACATGTGGCATGTGGTTTGTGTTGAGTTGTTTCTTTGCTGACAGCTATCTTTAGAATAGTAAGAGCCTGAATCGTGACCATCACATACACAAACACGAGGGGAGGGCTGAGGGATGAAAAGCATAGCATGTTTAGTTGTTCACTGTGAACCAATTGTTCTGTTCTTTGCTCTGTGTAAGGACAGCCATCCTAAGATGCTCACTGGAGTGGCTACAGATTCTGGGTGGGCCCAGGGTGTGTGTGTGTGTGTGTGTGTGTGTGTGTGTGTGTGTCTGCCTCAGTGCTTCAATACACTTTCCATCAGATTAAGCTGCTAAGCCTTTTCTATACAGTTCTACCTAAGGCCTGGTCCCTAATGGTCTGGTTTCCACTGGACAACCAAACTGGGCTAATTTACTACTCTGCTAGTTTACCCCAGAAAATATTTGTTTTTCCCTTTATAGTTAATTTCAACAGTGATGCTTTGACCTAAATTCTAACATCAGCGAACATTTAGGATGTGTTTACCATGTTCACGGGTTTAGCTTAGCAGGTCAACATGCTCAATTAGAACCAAACCCAAACTGCGGTTGATGTTGAGGTTATTTTTGCAGGTATTTACTCATAAACTGAAGTATTGGACAAATTCAGAGTTTGACCTGATGATGTCGCTGGATAAAAAAAATAATCAGGATCGCCAAAGTCATCATCAGTGTTGAGTAGTTGCTTCACTACGAGTAGCAGCATTACTGGTTTAGCTACATTTCTCAGCAGTGTGGAGTTAACGGCACACTTTTCTGAATCAAAGAGGTTCATGTAGAGTGGTAGCATCCACACAAGGGAGATTTCTGAGGTGACAAGAGGCTTATGTTTGCATGCAGGACTGGTATTACCTGGGAACCTCATGTGATTTAGAAATTATCCCCCACATCTGTTTGTCATGTGGCACATTCACATGATAAGCAAAGAGTGTGTTTCACTGGAATTGACTGACATTGTCCTTGCATGTGATATTATTAAGCCTCCACTAAATAAATGGTAAAAGGTCTGTAATTACATAGATTTTTTTGACTCTTTAAGTCAATCACACATAAACTAACACTCCAATTGTGGCAGAGCTACCATTCAAGGTTCTCATCTGCCATCAGGAGCAACTTGCGGTTTAGTGTCTTGCCCAGAAGCACCTTGGAACAAGGAGGTTCAAGCCGCCAACCTTGTGTAACCTGCTCTATTTCCTGAGCCCTCAATAACTAATGACTGCTGAGGCGTCCAAAAGACAGAAAATGTTCCTTGCAGTCTGTTGCCATACAAGCCATGCATTTAATCATGCTTCAAGATTGTACTCTTCTAATAGATGTGAGCTTTCTGTGAACAGGTCTCCATGCTGTGTAGAGACATAAGCCTCCTGAATCTGCACCCAAAAAGCTCCAAGCTTTCAATTATAACTGCCTTATTAATTCTTAAACAGAAAGGAGGCAGAAGAAAGGTGGAGAGGAAACAAAAAAAAAAAAAAAAAAATACAATGCAAAATGAGATGCCGTTTCCTACGGGACTAATAATGGACCTCTGTTTAGTGCAATGTGGTAGGTGGTTTGAAGGGGAATTTTTGCTTAACAAATTACTGGCAGATTCACACAGAATTAAGATCACAGATGACCAAGTACTTGGGACTGGAAGTTCTAAGCCCAAAGACAACGGAGCTTTCATTAAGATCTGAAATAAAATTAAGGATTGGTGATGATTGGTATGACAGAAACATGACCCACCAGTCCTTAGTCCAGTCTGCCAGCAGCAGCTTAACTGGTCAACAGGTAACTACTAGCTCACTACATGTCTCTCCATCCAATTTTTGTTGTGAAATCTCAACCTCATGTTGGCACGACAGGAAAAGTCATTTGATCACCTCAGTCATTAAGATTCTTCCTCAGGGGACCATGACAGTCTGTGCATAAAGCAGTTGACCAACATGGCTACAAGCAAGAACATCATACACGCATGACAATCCTGTTGTGGACTGTACATGTTAACAGATTTTTGTTTCAAATGTGCTTTTTGCTCTTATGCATTTGTCATTTGTGTGTTTTGTTGTATTGGCTGCTTTAACAGTATCATAGCTATTGGACACTGTGCTCACATAAACCCACACACACAGCAGTGGTTTGCAGTGGGAACATCAGAGGTCAGCTCCAAACAAATTTCATATTGTAGCGCAATACAAATCTTGTAACTTTCCTTTTGCTAATTTTATTTTAATATTTTAACTCAAAATATTACAAACTTCTCAGAGTGTAGAGAAGATTCTGTGAGACTTGGGATTACAAAAGCTCATCAGACAGTCTAAAAAATTCATGGATATCAGGCTTAAAAAAGGCACTCTTGCTTGTTTTCATTTCCTGAAAAGTTGACATTTCACAGATACACGGTTTCATCAGACAGTGTCAATTTGCAAATCACACATCATAGCATTGTTACACTGAACGCCTCTGACAGCCACCAGCATGAGAGCTGGTATGAGTCACCTCTCTGCACCTCCAAGGAAATCACACTGACTCACACACACACATGCAAACATAAACACGCAAAGACACACACAGCGAGGGGGCTGTGCGCTAATGCGGGTCAGCCGTATCTCGGAGGACAGCGCATGTGTATGTGTGAATAACAATGTGCCCTTTAACCCGAGCGTCGATGGAGGATTTCTTAATGTCGGTAAACGCAGCACACAGCCGCACGATGTGGCTCCCTGTGAACATGCACCATGTACTAGGAACTTTTTGCCTTTTTAATGTTGTGTAGCTGCGGTTAGCCAACCAACCATGGCCGATGGGCTGTGGCAGGCAGGCAGAGCAGTGACCAAAACTAACTGTGAATACATGCAGACCGTAAGAGAGAGAAGGAGAGAGACAGGGAGGCTCGAAGGAGGGAGAGCAAGCAAAGCAAAGAGATGCACCGTGAATTAACGCAGAAGCAACCAAGCAAAAGTTGCATATATGATCACTCTGAACAACAACCACGCTTTCTCTCCCCCTTGCCTGTTTAACGCATTTTTAACACCATGTCTGTATTATAACTGTGTGCATATGTGCACATGTCAGGCTCCAGCTGAAAAACATTAGTCAGGCCAGCAGGCAATTTTACTGAAACCTGGCCTTGCTAATGAAACGCTCCAGAGGAAGGATCAACTGGTATGGAGAGGCATAAAAGACAAACAGACGGAGCCGAGAGGAGAGTAAGGAGAATAAAGATAGAGATTTCCTTTGTTAGCATGTTTGTATGTGCACAAATATGTACAGTATGTGCATGCCTGGCTGGCAGTATCCGATTACACCGCAGATGCTGAAGATTTCAAAGCTCAGGGCAAAAAAAAAAAAAAAGAAATTCAATCAAAACCAGCACACAGAGCGAGAAAGAAGATAAAATCTACAGTCTTCACAGTATAGCTGCTATGCAATCTCTTGGTTTTTGTACCAGATAATGCCAAATGTGCAATCAGAATGAATATTGTTGGGACAGAAGAAAAATAAATGCAAAAACAGAGCACAGTGGCAAAAAGATTTTTTTTAAAAAAGAAAACATGAAGAATTAATAAGTGGAAAAAATAAAAGGTGAGGATGCCAAAAAAAAAAAAAAAAGGAGAGCACACAAGAAATAAACCGAATAAACAGCTGAGAAAGGAGAACGAGTGCAAAACAGTAAAATAAAGAGAAATAAGTAGAGAAAAGTGCAGACACATCTATGCTTCCCTTACCTCTGCAGCTGTGTGTGGTATCCTTTGGGACAAAAAATGTAGTGGGAAAGAAACTTCAGTTCCAGCAGCACTGCCACAGAGCCCCACTTTCTACAGCTTTCCAGGGTAATGCACATATATGTTTAAAAATATATATCTCTATCTGCTAGCCGCACGCAAACCCTTCAGTCCACCAGGACGGTGCTCTGTCTACCTACGTGGGTTTGTGTAAATATATCCTAGATGGTGATGAATAGTGGTGAGTGAAAGGAGAGTACTACGCTAGAGGGCAGACAGACTGGCTGAAACAGGAGAGCAGGGAGAGTGGAGAGCAGACTGAGTAGGATGGAAGAGCTGCTGCTTCCTAACATCAGAACGGCTGGGCTGGATACACCCACCTCCTCAGCACGCACCGAATGGGAGTCGCTTAGATGCTCTCAAGTATGCAAAGAGAGAGACAGAGAGAGAGAGAGAGAGAGAGAGAGAGATAGAGAGTGAGAGGTCCTATTTGCAGCCTGAGCTCTGATCTGATTTGATTTGATATATGCACATATGCATGCGAGGTTATGCACACATGCATAACCTCATATAGAGTCTCATTAACTTACTTTCACTGACACACATAGAACTATTTTCTCAGCTGTGCAGAGCCTGTAAGAAATGTCTGCAGGGGTGCTCAGCGAAAATAAATAAACCGGCTTATGTAAAAACAAAGCAAAGATGATCTTCATGCCTAAAATAACCGCTAATGACTTGAGTTTACCGCTCGCAGTATGTTTGTGTTAAGTTGCCAAAATTAGGTGATGAATCCAGCGGTTCTCACCCAGAGGTCTGGATGCCCCGAGAGGAGAACATTAACTGTTTGGCTAAATTGTTTGTTTTTGCTGTGATTTTCAATAAATCCTTCATATAGTGCTATTGCAATTAGTTGTTTAATGAAGAAGTCAAGCTTTAACAAACCCCTTTTTTTCCAGTTGCAAAAATGTGTAGGTTGCTTTCTCTCTTTTACATTAGAATCTGACCAGCCTGATATTGGAGGCCGATACTGGCCTGTAACAGAACTGTCGTATATCAGCAGCAGAGTATATCAAAAAGCATAAACAAAAAAAAACGATTTCTATTACAGGACATAAATTTGTAAGGTCTATACCTTACCATGTTAAGCGCTATGGGATGACATATGTTGTAAACTGGACTATACAAATAAAATTGAATTGAATTGAATAATACAGGAAAATATATCTGGGGTGATTCAGAAACTGTATCATCACATAATTCGTCGAGCAAAGCGGCTCCGACTTCATTTTAAAGCACCCTTACTGTCTGCAGCACATGTAGCAGAGTACGTATCACAGCTGAGAAAGCCAGAGTTTGTCCTCGAGGTGAGTTGCCAACTCGTTTGTGAAATACATTGGTGGAAAGTGAACAATGACACCATCATTTTACTTTTAAGTATGACTGCAACATATCTAAACAGCATTGGCTGATATATCAATATCAGAATTTGCTCCCAAAATAAAGGATCAGTCCAGCTCTATTTTACATGACTACAAATGAAAAAACTTTAACTTCTGGGCAGGTTGGGTAAAACAGGCACTGTGATGACATCAGCTTGCTCTCTGGGAAGCTGAGGGCATTTAATCGATGAAAGACAAAAGCGATAGAAAATAAAAGATGCATGCATTCATAAATGCATGCATCTTTCTGAATCTGCTCATCATAGAATGCAGTGGCAGGAAAAGGTTATTCGTGGACATGTGTGGACTGTATGTGAGTGTAGGAATCAGCATGATGGTTTATGAGGATAAAGAAGTGGAGGAAAATCACTGCATGCATGTGTGTATAAAGGGTTTGTTGTTGAGAAGCAAACTGTAGTAGATTTGACGACATGCCTCTCATTCTTGGAGTGCACCATTGCCTGTCGCTCAACATGCCTTCATTTTCCCTCCACTGTTCCCCTCCTGGGAGAGAAGGCGGCTGGAGGCAGGAGGCTGGAGGGGGCTGTTTTCTCGTGTCATGGGCTTTGAGCCGCCACACCACCCACCTCCACAGCTCCGGCCGTGAGAGCGTCGTGCCTCCTGGGACAAAGCCTGCCTTGATAAAGGCCAATTCCATAGCCCAGTGCATGGAGAAAGGACCTCATTACTACCACAGGTTAGAGGTTAAATTCTTGGTGGATTGGCCAGTAGGTGGCAATATCTGTGAAATGATCACATTCACAGCAGGTGCAGTTTGACTAAATTGAATGAAGTGGATAGTTTCCCTCCTCTTTATCCTTCACTCAGTGATTTGCCTTTTAAAAATGGAAAAAGTCTCCAATAAGTTGAAGAATATATCGCAGGAAGAGAGAATATTTTCACCACCACGTATTTAATAGTTGAAATCTGTTCAGTGATCTGGCTCAGTGTCTGGCTGTCCTGTTGCATCTAGTGTGTAATGCAATAGCCAATCAAAAACAAGGCCTTGTGTGGATTTCACTGCCTGCAGCTGAGGACACGGGTGGCGGGCTCTGACTTCGCTTGAGAAAACGATGTTATCAGGAGGTGATGATGGAAGTGAAACACAGTAATCCTCCTTTATAAGGCATCTCCTGGTTTGGATTTAGATGGGAAAGCGAGAAAGCAAACCTCACACCTTCTCATCGGCCAACCTTTGTAAATCTGGATTAAATCACACGCTGGTTACTTCATCTGTAATGAAATCTATCTTATAAAGCAATCACCAAACACCATAAATGTGATTTAAGGTTCCCAGGTTAAATGAGGTATGGGGGTTCTGGAAATGTACAGTTAAAGCCTTCTTAGAGCTGCAGATTGGAGAGATAACACAGGCATCAGACTGAGGATGGTGATTGCATGCAGTGGCTCTACTATCATCAGTCCCACAGCAAGTCCTGCACCCTCCAAACTACTACCTCCATCCACTATCAGCATCCCTGCTGCAACATCACTTGATCACCAAGCCAGCAAACCTGAGTGGTTTCTGGAAGCTGGAGCACAGGAGCTCCTGTCCATCGATATCTGTGCTGCTGACCAAGCAGCCACTCTGCAGCTACAGCAGCGGATCGTCCAGCAGACATACCGTCGTATTGACAAATGCCCACACTGGATGCATGCAGGGATGAAACGACGCACCTGTCATTTCCCATTTATTCGGTGCTGCATTCAGGTGCTGCGATCCTACACGTATCGTAAAAACGCACGCCAGCAACAACACTCAGTAGCTCCTATTAAAGCCAACATAGTGCAACTGATACAAATAAGCCCAAAAAGAGATTAAACAGGCTCATCCCCCGGAGAGCGATTCAAGCGGATTTGGGTTTATCAATTAACGCAGAAAGCAGAGAAAATAGTATCTTACCGTGGAAAATCGTGGAAAGAAGGATAGCCTGCTGGCTGTCAGATGAGGGGATGCTGTGGTGGAGGTGGGAATGATGCTGCTGGCCGCTCCAGCCTCCCGTTCGCCGGACAGTGTCGCCCCCTGCAGGCTCATAGTGGACACTGCAGGAAACAACCGTCATCAGCTGCTGTCTGACGTTTAGTCTTGTGCAAGAAATATCTTTTTTTTTTTTTTTTTTTTTTTAAATAAGGAAGAGTAATAGTTGTAAGACGCATCTCAATAATATAAAAATATCCACAAATTAAATTATTTGACTGGGTCATGCGAAAAGGAGTGTTGTGAAGTCATACAGTGGAAAATAGATTTTGCCTTTAAGTGCCTTCAAATTAAAAGCACGACAGCCCAGTGGAACTCAATATGGCTGTGTAACTTACTGTAACTTTTGCTCAGGTTTCTGCATCACATTTTTCTCAACACTACACCATCAGACTAATATAGTAACAGAGAAAATGTTAACTCAAACAAATCAGTTGAGGAAAAAAGCTCCAAAAGGGTAGAAGGCCTAAGCTGACAAGTATACACTTATTCTAACCCGAATTTAGCAGAAAACACATTGGCAAAATGACAAAATCTAAATTTTAATTTGTTAATGCAACAGCATGCTAACTGAAATGACATGGAGATGTAAAGTGTTACAAAACTGGTCCCCATTTCCGTACTATTACGAATTACTCTATTTTTTAAAGGAATTATTCGATTTCTGAAAACGATTGACCAGTGGTGCTAAATACCTAGATTATTTATTTATTTATTTAGCTGGAAGTAACTACTCACAAATGATGTTTTACAATTCACTGGTATTTCTTAAGCAAAAATACAAAAATATTATGTTGTACAAACTTTCAATTAATGCTTTCCAAGGGAGTTGCTTTTGATAATTAAAGCTTGGTCTGACTTCTCATTATGCCTCGTAAAAGATCGTCAACCAACTAGTTCTACGCGTTTAATTTGAAAAAAACTACTGGTGTTACTTATTTAACTTGACCACCGCTTTACAAAAAAACTACAAAGATGGCGTCTGGAACTGGCCGGAAGGGCCTAAATGAAGTAGGTGTCTTTATCTAAGCCGGAAATCTGGAACGAAAGTCTTTGCGGTTATATAATTTTCAAGAGGTCTATGTCCATTTGAAAGTTTTACGCATACGCCTGAAATACTTTTAACACCAGGGTGTACCGCTGTTGGAACATTTTTGCCGAATATTTGGATGTGGTGTGGCTGTTCCACCGGCGGTGTGACGGCCAGCGCGTCCTCCAGCAGGAAAAAGCGCCAACTTCTGCGGCACCGTCTGAATTGTCAAACACTGTGTAAATGGTTCGCAGACTGGATATTTGGTGAAATATATCAGACTTACATCTGGAATGACTCGTTCAGGTAAGATTTAAAAACGTCTCGACACTGTGGGGGTTTCGATAAGTCGTTTGGTTGAAGTGGACAGTTTGAAGCGGCGTGCTGCCTGTTTCTCCTCCCACTTCTTCACCGCACCGTGTCGACCCAGTTTTGTCGCTGTGTTGTGAGCAAAGTGCTCAACATCGTCGGTTTATTTTTGCGCTGTTTCTGCGTCGCTGCGGTTCACTCGAGCTGAAGAGATAACGGCTGCTAGCGTAAACAGCTGTATTCCAGTTGCTGAGAGAGGCAGAGAAACAAGAGCGGCTCCATTAAGTTAGCCTTAGCCAGCTAACGTGTTATATAATACGTGGTTCACTCGGTGACTGGGTTTGACTTTCTGATCCAGAACTGTCTGAATTGATCAAATCGGCGCAGTTTTGTTGTAGTTGAGCAACAACACAGCGTAAACTTGAGTGCGCAGTTACTTTCGTTCTCGTTGAACTCTGATGGCGCCTACTGAAATCAAATTCTGTTTCTTTTTTTTGCCAGTGAGGTGCGCTGTTGCGTCTCAGTAGAAAATAGAAATCACCATCAAGGTAGCGGGGAAC